ATTCATGAATAACGGTTCTGATTATATTTCCATTATCAAGGCTAATTGTTTTAAGAGATTTTTGCCTTGATTATAGCAATAATAAACAAAGACTTTGTTTCCATGAGTATTCTTTAATTTCATATCTTTTTCATGACGTAGAAATTGACAGCGCGTACATTCATGGTTGACACGTATATTCGGGCCATTAACTGGAAAGCTATTGACCACACACATGTAAATCAGAGAGTTGCTAATGGGCTCTTCCTTCTGTGAGAACTTGCCTTTACGCCCTGGGCTGGACCCGATGGTACCCACAGTCACATGCTCCCTTCTCCCCTCCAAGAGGGATCAGCAGAGTAGCCATTCGGAGAAGGATCTGTTTTTTGTATGTGTGAGGCCAGGCCTGGGTTTGGGGCTCCTGGAACACAGTACTCCAGACAGTTTCTGAAAGGTCTCAGCTTCTTGCCCTGGCGGGTGGCTCAGTTACTCAGGCCGTCGTCCCTGCACCAAAAGGTTGCCAGTTCGATTCCCGCTCAGGGAGCATACCTTGGTTGTAGGTTTAACCCCCGATTGGTCAATGGGTCGGGGTGCAAACTGGAGGCAATGGAACGGTGTTTCTCCCTCCCTCTTAGCCCTTCTCTCTCATATCAATAAACATCTCCTTAGGTGAGGATTTAAAAGAAAAAGGACACAGCATCTTCCCCAGCGATCCCACCGGGCACCCTGCTTTCAAGGTGTCCTTTAATGACCCTTAGGTCAACCCGGCAGTTCTAGAGAGATGTTTGTATCTAATGTTTATTTACTGGATTCTCATACTAACCCTTAGTTCCCTTTACAAATGGGAAAACGGCCTTGGGGAGTAGTTTTCCCATGACCAGGTGATGGCAGGCTCTGCACAGCGCCCAGGTCCACACCCGCGCCCGACCCCCTCCCGGAGGCGCACCAGGCGGGGAGTGGCGGGAAGGCAGTCAACCGTTTGGTCCATGCCCTGCTGGAGCCTCCACCCTCCGCCTCGCAGAAGCAGGCATTTAGAGACGCAGGTGAAGTCAGAAACCACCCTGCACCCTGCACGGGCCTCTGGGGCTGGTAATAAACTGGAGGATTTGATTGGCCCACTTCCCGGTTCCAGGGAAGTTGAATAGCAGGGGGTGAGTCCAACCCCAGGCGGGGAGCCCCGACCAGTGCGCGGGGACTCCCAGGCCCTGCTGCCTGACCAGCTCTCCCCGCTGGCGGGAGACTCAGACCCTTCCCGGACGCTCCTCTGTCTGCCTTGCCCGCGCCCTCGCCATCTCCCGGCACTGACACGTGGACTTTGCAGCACCAAGTCCCAGTGCCTTGCTGTGGGGCTGATTCTCCATAAACATTTTAGTTCTCTCTTTTCTGTGTTTGAAGTAGGAAATGAATGGATATTTTAACCCTGTGTGTGTGTCAGTTGAGACCAATCATTTCCTGAGGTCGTAAGTCTCTTGATCCCCACAGCCACCGTGTCAGCAGCAGGCCCCTTCGCAGGGCCGTGGAGAAGGCCCCCCGAGCTGGATCAGGTCACCCCGGCCCAACTGTGGCCCTGGTGGCCCCACCTGCCCAGATGAGAGCGGCACCCAGGTCCCACCGGGCAAGTCCCGCCACCCGCCGACAGAGGGCGCCCACCCCCCAGGAATCACCTTAAAACCTCAGGGAAGCCCTGGCCAGTTTGCTCAGTGGATAGAGTGTCGACCTGTGGACTGAAGGGTCCCAGGTTCAATTCTGGTCAAGGGCACATGTCTGGGTTTCGGGCTTGGTCCCCAGTGGGCGGGGGTGCAAGAGGCAACCAATCGATGATTCTCTCTCCCCTTCTCCCTTCATCTCTGAAATCAATAAAAATATATTAAAACAAAATAAAACAAAACAAAAACCCCAGGGAAGGCACGCGGGCTCCCACAGATCCCAGCTCCCTTAGTGCCCTCCTGGCCCAGAAGCCTCGCCCTTCCTGAGGCAGTGAGCTGGGTCCTCA